AAGTACCCGTGTGCGTGTGGACGGGGCACTGCTGAAATGGAGAGGAATTATGTTATTAGTCTTACACATAACAACGTACCGGCGTACTTCCGGCGTAAAAACAAAATTTATTAGAGAGTTTTATTTTGCCAAAAATTACGCCCCTATAAAAAAAGAAAAAAAAAAAGGAATCCCAGAACATCAATGTTCTTTCCCGGGAAAGCGTGTTTTTGTTTGGCGAGAAAAAATCGGAAAAAGTTATCCGGGAATCGGGCATAATAAACCTAAAAAGTAGAACCCACAAGCAAGTAGAATCCTCCTACCACGAAAGTGAGGTACGAGTTACTGTACTTCACTCTTGTAACTCATTTCGCGGATGTCACCCCAACATTAAGAGAACCAGCAAAGAGAAACGTTTCATTATCGGGCTTTGAATTCAAGAGAGGCGTACCAGCATGAATCCCTCCATTGATGACGATATTTTGTTTCTACACGGCGACCTCGACAGATGAAACATGACTTGTGTGCGTTTTTTTTCTTTTTTTTTTTTTGGCAGTCGGCAAGTTACTGGTAAGTATGTGGTTCGGGACACGAAGTTTCGGGTTCTTGTTTAAAGGGGCCCTGCAACGACTTTTTGTTGTTTCTTAATTTGCGCCGAACCTGAACGCAGTAACTTAGTGAACTTTTTCTTTTTACAAAATTCGCTTTATTTTAAAAGTTATAGGCATATTAAAATGCCAAAAACAAGCAAGAAATGACCTCCTTCATGACGTCCTGGGTCCTCTGCCCCCCCCCCCCCTTTCCCTCTCCCACGGACAGCAGTGACTGGGGAATGTGGGGAAGGAGGGGAAAGGAGGTGAGGCCGAGGAGAGAGAGAGAGCTGCCCGGGAACGGGGCAGCTCTCTTTCCTCGGCTGATGTCAGGACCAACTACGTCACGATTTCGTCACATGCCGCGCGCGTTCGACAACACGGGGCGGCCCCCTAGGAGGAGGAAGTTTCCGCGTCGTCCGGGTAAATAATGACGCACTGATATTTAATTAATCTTTCCGTGCCCGCTGGGTTGCCCGAACTACGGGAGACGTGGAAACCGCAAAAAGGGTAGACGCTTAAATAGGATTGCAGGGCCACTTTAAAACTGACACCGATAGGTGCACTCCAATCATGCCACGTAAACACGAATAATTCGCTGGGGTGTTGAGCGTTTTTTTTTTTTTTCGTACCCGTTTTTTATTGTTTGGCCGAAATAAAATGACACAATATATTTATCTTAGTTTTAATTTTAATGTTTAGGAGATGTGGACCTACTTAAAGTGGGTGCTACAAAGCAAAAAAAAAAAAAAAAGATTACAACTTGATTTATATTGAGCTGCCCTTCTGAGCAATGTCGCAAACTCCCAAGAGAATCTAATAACTGCGATCATACTTTGAGCAAAGCGAAGTTTCTCTGGAAAAATGACTGCTTGTAATATAAATACGATAAAAGAGTATCTAATCAAATTACTTTCGCTGTATTCCGGATCAACGAAGAAAGGGTAAAAGCGCAGTTGAACTAATGAAGAACTTTCATCATATCCGGTGACACTGGAAGATAGAAAGACGGACTAAACATCAACAAGTCTCAAGACTCAAACACATATTATATATGTTTTAGACTTGTTGTTTTGTCCCTTGTTCTTATCTCTTCGTGTCTCCGGATATGGTAAAAATTCAAGATCAAACCTTTTTTTTAACGGTAAGCAAATGATTTATTAGAAGGTACCAACTAGATGTCTTTTTCTATTGACGCTAGATTTTATGATATTAAAATAATGAGCAATTTGCAGATCTGGTGCGGTTCTAAATTTTGCGGATACGGCTTCTATGGACATACAAAACTTTAAGAACATTACAGATGGGGTTCTGATACGAGTAGAAAGTGCGCAGATACTGGTCGGATGAGGATGCCCAAGCTGTTATCTGCGCAGGGCTCTAATTATGGAAGACTATGAAGTCATTTCTACATTGTTAACATTTGTTCCTGCTGAGAACTATGGACGTGCAGAATAACTTTTAGCGAATCTGAACACTACCTTCAAATACAAAGGAAGTATACGTGTGTGACGGTAACTCCTTCAGCCTACGGGCCTATTTAACTTAACCTACTTGAGTCAACTGCCCTTTATATATCGAATTCTTCTAGTCTTTTGGTCATTTTATTTAATAGGGCTCTTTAATAGTGTTATTTTTTGTTTAGCCTCTTCATTGTATGTCAATACCGGCAAGCCTATCGGATTAACATTACTGCGTTTAATGCTGAATTTTAGCTTTGATTAAAACGACAAGTGCTGATTGTTGGGCAAGTTGGTATGGTACGTTAGAAAACGCTTCCATTATTCCTCCTCCTCCATTATTATTTTCTTCTTCTACCGTTCTCGCTAAACACAAAGTTAAGACTGTTGGAGAGATTATGGAGGCTGACGCTATAAATAGTTCCGGCACGTGTTGTGTCAGTGTGGCGTCAATTGATTTGGCGGATAAGAAGTTAGCGTACTTGCGGTCCGGAGAGGGGGGGGGGGGGAGGGAGGAGGGGCATGGATTGGTTGAGATGTGGTGCGGTGACGCAGTGTGTTTCTACCCTGAGGCTCTTGAATTAAATCAGTTGAAGGTTAGCGCTCTGTGGTGTCTATTCTTCCTATGTCCCTGTCTTCAAAGCGCAATCATGTTTTCTAACGTTCATTAAAACGACCAATAATTTAAATAATTACCCATTGAACCCGCCGCTTCCAACATCACAATGCTTATCGGCACGTCGAAAGGAGTACGATGGTCACGAAGCGATTATTTAGTGGTACTAGAAGACCACTGTTATTTTCCTCGGGAGCCTTAGCACATAATGTGTTTTATCAGCCGATTGTCATGGAGTTCCGTAACGATTGGCTTTAACGAAAACCCGTCACCGAAAATACTGTCCTGGGAAACCACGTAAAAATACTTCAGTCCCCCGGCTATGGTGACTGGGACGGCTTACGGCGTCGAAAAAATGTGGTCCCTCGATTTCCGCCTGGTGACGTCATAGAGGTATTACGCTGGCGCCTGTCGCGATTCTGGCGGTGTCCAAGAAGTGGTGGTGTATCTGGCAGACACCTGTCCTTCTGTAGATCTCTCTCCAATGTGGCAGTCCATGGAAGCTTCGGCAGCCACAATTTGGGACGTCGCGACGAGAGCGACACTCGCGTTCGCTCGCGCTTTTCGCCAGCAGTTCTGCCATCGACCGCCAGGATCGCGACGTCCGACAACATGACATTGCGGCTTCTATGACGTCGTTTGTTGCCATTCCGGGACCCTTTTATGTAAGGGCGGAATAAGATGCTAACCACACCAGTCGGAGACACGCTCCAGGCACCATAGTCCGGCAGGATCTGAACTCACCACCTCGAGCTCGTGAGCCAAGTGCTTTGCCGACTGTGCTATGAAAAGGTCAATGGTCGTGACTCGTATCACGGAAAACCGAAGTCTTTGGAGCGGCGTTCGAGGGAGCGATCGTGCGCTACGCCCTTCTCTTCTCCCTTGAAAGCAGTATCGCACATTTTGTGCTCACCACTCTCTGTCATCATGATGAAGCTCGTATAATTTTAACACAGAATGTGGTTTATGGGCCTACTTTATGAAGCTCTGTAACGTTTGGCTGTAACGACACCGAAAAGTGTTACTCCCGTTCGAATCGACAAAAAAAAAGAAAGAGACTTGAGTCCGCTGGCAGGATTTGAACTCACTGCCTTGATATTGCGAGCGAAGTGCTTGGCACACTGAGGTATCCAGGCTCGGGGATCGGAGTATGCGAAGTGATGGCGGAGCGACCGAATGCGCGGTCGGGCGCCTCGCGGCATTCCCTTTCGTGCTGCGCCATCTCACGGCGTGCGCCAGAAATAAGAGGGAATCTTTGTTAGGCGCTGCCGTTCAGATACCCTTCTCTTCTTCCCTGGAAGGCCTATCGCATGTTCTGTTCTTTCCATTCTTTGTCAGCATGATCGAGCTTGTACAAGTTTTTGTTAAAGATAAAGGAATTTTTTTTTAAATATATTTCGTAAACTCTACGGCACATTACGGTGCAACGATGAAACATACATTTTATGTGTTTTCCACTTCAGCAACATTTACATAAGGTATTAGAACGATTATTCTGATTTACCCTTAAATGGTACGTAAGAAATTATTATATGGAACTGCACCTCTCTTCTGGGTACTTATGACATAAAATGGGTAATCATCAGGTAAGTATTACAGAAAAAAAAAAATACGAGAACACTTTAACTTGTGAAAGCCCCAATATTTAGACTGATTACTCTTCGATGACGATGTCATTAGTTCTACAGCGTTTACGAAATGAATGTGATATTAACCGAGGCGCACAATCGTCGTTCATTTTTACACATCTCTGAAAGAAAACCGATCCCCTCACACTGAAGACGGCTTAAGTGCTGTGCCACTGACTAAAGACAACAAGGACCACGTTCATGAAACTAACCCGCTGTACGTACGCGCCACAAGAAAAAGGCAGCGTGCCAAGGCGCGGAACAATTCATCGCTCATCGTTACGACTCGCGCGAAGCCGTAACCGAAACTCCGGACCCGATGAAACCCTAGAATGTCTAGCCCACTCATCAAAAAGAAAAAAAGGAATCCCCAACACAGGAGCCAAAACAAAAGCAGCAGCAGCAAAACAATAGTAACAAGAAGAACATCACCAGCAACACAAACAACGCGGAGACAAACCCCACGCACACTCGCGCTCGGTCCTGGACGTTATCAGAAAACTCTCTAGCCCACATCCCCACATCCTAGAACAAACATAAAGAAAAAACTAAAGTATTTCTGAAAAAATTTCCCGCGGAGCCATCCCCAAGGGGGAAAGGGGGAAGACGGGAGAGAGACCTTTCCAGTACCGCGTCCCGAAAAAGGGGGAAAGAGGGAAGAAATGGGAGGCCCGGGTCCCTAAAACTGGTATGTCTTCCCCTCGGGGTTTCCCCTCCTCCCCGCCAGGCGGCTGCCGCGGCCGGCCCCGCCCCTGCGTTCCGGGCTGCCCCGTCGGGGCCCGCTGCGATCGCGGGTCCGGCCAGTGCTCGTGCGTGCCCGGCACCGTGCCCGTGTTTGCGCCCAGCGCGCCGTCGGATACGAGCAGTGGCGGCGCGACGTCGACGACGCTGCTCTCGCGCTGCGAGCCCCTCCGCGGTGCTGGCATGGACTCGGCGCACGCGGACAACCACACCGCCGCCGGCGCCGGGGATATCCTGCTCAAGTACTACCCCGGTGAGTGCACCCCCACCTGTTGCTCACACACCTCTTCCCTTCTCGTAGTTTGTTTCGTTTAGTTTTTAGTTGGGATTCCATGGTTTTGAAGTTAATTTATCTGGGAAACTTCGGAGTGGGTTCGTCGATGTTTGTATTTTTTATAAAAAAATTCGTCGCTGGTAAATTTTACATTCCCTGAAATGCAGTATTTATTGATTTTTTTTTGTTTAGTTACATTTCTCATTCTTAATGTTCATTAATAAAATTAAGTGTGCTGCATATAAACACTGATCAAAAGCCGCAGAAATAAATTTTAACTCTGATAAAAATCTTTCGGTAATTAACGGAAATCTCATCACCTATCCTGAACTAGAACAGTGGCTAATACAACTAGAAGCCGGCTTTTGTTGAGCTTTAGAAGCGCATGATATTTGCCCACTTGCGCCGAACGATTCCTGGTGATGCGCAAAACAATTGGTCCTCACAAGTTAAAAAAAAGAAAAAAAAAGCTCTAAAGTTATTTTTATTATCTTTCCGTTACGTTGATCTCATGCTTTAGCGGATACAAGTGTTAAGTGCCTCGGATTTACTCTTTTTCCCTTTAATCTTTAATCTTGGAATTTTTTTAAACAAATTCTAAATACTCGAATGTGCCACCTTGCGCATTCAGAATGCTTTTCCGATTTAATTCTGATATGTGAAGGCCTATTTATAGGAGAAGGAACGCACGTTCGCGGCGGAGAATAAATATTTAGAATAGGAACATTCGATTAGCCTGGTCAGATCACGGGGATTGTGCAAATGTTCCTAATGCTTTTGTGTCCCCGCTTTGCGTCCACCCCGTCTGAGCTTACGTTGGTATCACGTTTCGCAAGGAGCAACCTACGCTCTTGGACTTTTCACGGAGGAACCCGGAGTTTATGTTTTCATTCGAACAACCACTTCTTATGATGACTGTTGTTTTGGACTGAGATTTGCAAGGTTTGTTGCGTCATGCCATTCTTGATTTCTCGAACACTTTTGCCAAGCTATTTTTATTCAGTGTTATTCTACGAACTGCAGCGTTCCTAACACGTGATTTTCGTTCCAAGCAACAATATCCTTTGAAGAGCTTCTGGTCATACATCCTTTCAGTTTATCATTAAGCAACTTCTTTAAGGAACAAATGATTTTGCGCTTTCATAATCGTACAATCTCAGAGAAATAAAATATTTCCTTTTTCCATTGAGATTGCACGATATTTGGAGCCTTACAGCGCTTTTTGTTCTTAATGGCTCGACTAATTAAAAAAGGGCCACGCATTCATTTGTGATCCACGGGTATCGCGCAGACATCAAAGATCTGAGAGCGTACAATATTATTTTGACTATTTTTAGTAGTCTTCCTCCAACCTGAAGAATGCGCAATGTTTTCTGAAGGAATTGCCATTGGCGTATGCAAAATCAGAAAATTTGTATGGACAGTTATTTCTTATTTATAAATTATCGCTTTGTGACTTTGAGACGCCTTTAAAATGAAGCTTTACCGAAAACAGAACTATATAAAATCATCAGCCACATCCGTTGTGTGAGATGTAAGAAGTTTTGGTCACACAATGACATTATACGCATTATAAAAGAACTACCACGTTTTGAATAGAAATTAATGAAGATATATGTATGGTATTTTTTTATTTTGCTACATTGTGCAAATACTTCGATTGAATGCTTAAAATAGATGTCTCTTCATACTACGAAAAGAGACGACAAAAGATTTCTGAAAGATTCTTTGAATTGATCAGGTTCGTTTTGGAAATGTTCACTTCTTTCGAGCATCCGCTGTAAAGGACGTATAGCAAACAAAAGAATTCCACACGCATACAAAGAAACAAAAAAAATATAAAAAATAAATGCTACCACATCTAGTGATACAATAAAAAGGTATGGAAACGAAATTTCAGCTCTTATTTCTTTGTCTAAATATAAACTATAAAATACAAAGACCTCCAGAAACAAAAGTCTTTGGGTGGAAACGAGAGAAATGAATTTTAAAACGTATTTAATTATTCACAAATTTTCTCTAGCGGATGTCCCTGAAGATTCTTTGAATGGTCTTGTCATCGCCCTGCAAGAGCAGCGCTGCACCTCGGGAGCACGGCGTACTATTGTACACGTTTCAGGCCTGTACACAAACGCGAGATGGACGGAGAATGCCACATCGTAGAGCCGTTCCCGCGTTGACGAAGTTAACGGCCGGCCGGGCGGCCGTCCTTTTCGAGGAGTTTGGTCGGTTTTGATGGACGAACGCTGGTCCATGAGTCACGACTTTGCGAGGGAGGAGGAACTGCGAAAGCTGTCCTTATCGCTCGTGCATCTTGCTCGCCCGTCGTATACCCCACGCTTGTGCGGCAGTCGTTTTTGTTGCAAGCACTTCACTACGAAAGGAGCGCAAAGGTGCTGAAGTTGTACGTGAACCAAACAGCATCACGGCTTGACCGAATAACCGAATCGCTTGACTGCGATCTCGCTGCAAGCAAGCCAATGCCCGTGTGGCTGACTCACGTTATCATCGTAGAAATAACCTTCGTTTTGGCAGGGTATTCTGCACGCAAAAAGCAGATAGCCCGCAGCGCGAGCACTCCGCAAAAGCGGTGGAGCGATGGGTTGGATGAGATGGTGCTGTCGTTCAGGTCTCGGGTACCTCTACTAAGAAAAGTTGTAACACCTTGACACCACCAAGTGGCAAACCTAATAACTACGGTACAATTGGCTCTGAGGGAGTCATTGGCTTCATGGATGCAACCTGGCCCGGCGGATATCCCGAGGCGCATCGTGCTCTCCAATGGCATATCTTAAAGGGCTCGCCTAAATCCAGCATGAAGAAACAAATCGACACTAATGCTGTCGAAATACAGGCGTATCATTATCATTCACAGTTATTATTGATCCTGTTCGATTTATGAATGAGCGTTTCGAGAGTGTTTTAAGTTTTGATTAGGCATTCCTTTAAAGAAACACTCAAAAGGTTCTTGAAAAAAAAAAAAAAAAAAGAGTTAGAGGTGAATTGTAAAGTAATTTTATACCGTTATGCTGAATATCACCTTCCTTTTCCCCGAAGATGTAACTAAGAGCGAGAACACAAGAACAATTTCCGACCAGTTGTGACGTCATACTCAGATCTTTGGGCCGCCAAACGCGTGTCGCTTGTGTGGGAGGCGCGTGCATTTGAAAACTTTCCAGGTATATTTCCCCGAACAAAAACCAGCTTTGCATATTTTATTGACCTTTTACAAAAATAGCAAGATTGCGCGTGCATAGCTTTCGTAGGAGCTCAAGTTGCGCGGGAGCAGAGATTTCATAAACACCTAACATTACGCCACGCTCCGGGAGGGAGGGGCTTCGGCGGTACTTTGAACATAATTTTCTGCAACCTCCATGGAAAATATTGGAAAATAATATTGATTTTCCCGATCCTGGAGGTCCTACGAAGACGATTTAAGTGTTTTTCCTCAAATGCAGAACCGCTTCAATTTCCCCTCAAACATGCAAACATATTTTTTGCACTCTCACTTTTTTCTAAATAAAAACAACGCACAGTGCAAACAAGGTAATCAACGAAGGGAATTTTAATGGTGTAAAAAACTTATCAGTGTAAACGTATGACTTGTGACTTGAAAGAAATGATATCACAGAGCACTACTGTGTGTGTTGAAAGTTTTGAAAAGAACATTTCAGAGGGAAGACCGTTTCAGCTCTAAATTATTTCTGAAACACATAAGCAGTTCAATGAGATTAAATAAAAAAAAAAATAGAACGGCAGTTTACATCGTTTTTCCTGTCTGCTAAAAAAAAAGTTTTCTTTTTGATCACGCGTTTATGTTTCATACAGATTTCGCTCATTAATGTTCGTGCAATATGCCGCAATATCAGTCGCCATCGGATTATATTGCGCATATTCAGTTCATATTTAGCACTGTTTCTGGGGATTCCACGTTTTTGGGCAAGTTTATATACCTTTATCGTATTTTCAAAGTTGTTCTTGTTTTTTATTTTCTCTGATACTCGATTTGTAACGTAAAAAAAGGGAAAAAAAAAACAAAAAAAAACGGCGGTGGACAATTAGGCATGTTAGATCTACATGGACATATAATAGACTTAATGCAGTCTTACCTTTGGAACGTTTTACTATTTCTAAAACACGTGAACTGCTCACATCGCCCCTCGGTACAACTCTTGACTGAAAGGTTCGGTCTGCATACACATGCGGTGGCTGCTTTGTATAGGCGTTCACTCTGTGTTTAGCATTGCATTAAGTACCCAAGCTGAGAAGGGAATGTTCATACTGAAGATAATCCCAGCTCTGTCTTATTGAGTACATCAAAATACATGTTTCTGAGCGCTTTATTTTAGTCACATTACGCTGGCAGCTTTCCTCTCGATGCCTTTGTGGTGATGTATTTGGGCCGTCTTGTTGTCTGCCAACGTTCCGTGTCTTGGAGTAACTTAACGCACGGGTGTTTAAATTAACTCAGCTGAAAAACAGGTTAGCGGCAAGTGCACACTGTCTCTCTTCTGTGGAAACCCGTTTCCTTCTTTCTTTTTCGTATTCCTTCTTTATTTACTTTTTCCCGGTTTTTAAATTTATCGAAAGGTGTAAATTGAAGTGCCTGCGTCCGTGGCCCGGCGTTTTTCCACAGACGCGGGTACGGATTAATGCTAGTCTTTTTTAGCTCGCGCGACTTAAGTTCGCGAGGTTCCTTTTAGGCTAGGAGCTTACGACCTCAACGACGGCTTGACGGCTGAATGGGGTGATAATTTGTTCTTTCCCGTGGCGGGGCGAAGATAGACACCGGAATTCAGGAATCATTTATTGCCTTCGAGTTCGTTAAGAGGCGGAAGGAACGTCGCGTTTAATTTAGATCCTCCCTCGGTTTACTGGCAGACTTATAGTAACAAACGATAATTGAAAAAAAAAAAAATCTCCCAGCAGTCGTTTTTCCCGGAATTCGTGTAGCGCGCTTCGCGTTTTTAATGTATTCG